GTATCTTTGGGAGAAATGAGAGAACCCTGAATTTCACAGTGGGACTTTTCTGAACAAATTGGAAAAGGCAGCAAAAACCCTGAATTTTTGTCATGTGGCTTTCTCAAGAGAAAGTTGATAGTTAACATACCCTAAGAATCTGCCCTGAGCCCTGACAATTGGACTAAAAAATGTCAAGACTTGAACAATTTTTTTGGTATACCAGACCACCTAAACCATAGTTTCTTTTAAAGTATCTTAGAGGAATAACCCAGCCATTTTTTAAATACTAGATGCTGAAAAAATAGATGATACTGGATTTTTACTCTGCTGACCAAAAGGAGGGCCAAGACTTCAGATCTCTCAAGTTTTACTACAGAGATTTTTGGCCATAATGCAGTATATGATCAAACTTTATAAGGATGCCATGAAACTGGCAGAAGTCACTGAATATATGGATGCAGTACTAATTAATATCTGCACATTTCACAAGGGTCATTATAAGATGAAGGATTTGATCCGATGTAGTCCAGCAAGAGGCAAATCTGTTCAAGGAAGAAATAATGCCTTATAAAATATGAATGGCACCGACTGGTAATGTTTTTCATCACCAACTTAAAAGTGGTAGCAACAATAACTTTGGAATTTTATAACACAGTGAACTTGAGAAATGTATTCTATAGGCAGAAATAAAAGATTGTTGTTTTCAGGGCCTCCCTGGTGGCGCAAGGTGTTAAGCACGCACTATAAAGCAATCCGCAGCCTCTGCTGCATGAGTTCGATCCCCGGCCTGCCAGGGAGCAACCCACATGGCACAGCAGACCTCTCCTGTGTCGCCCACTGCTCCCCTCAGCAGTATATTTCAGTCAGTCTTCCTGTTCTGTTCCCCACAGAACAGATCTGTCTCTGTCTCTGTGGATCTTCTCACCACCACCACCACCCTGGATCTCTGGCCTGTGCCCCAGCTCTTGTATGCATAAATAAATAAATCTTAAAAAAAAAAAAAAGATTGTTTTCAGAGGTAAGTAAATTAGTGAAGAAACATCAAGATAATAAAGACCATTAAGCTCTAAACAATAATTCTTTTTTTAAAGATTTATTTATGCACACAAGAACTGGAATACAGACTAGAGATGTGGAGGGTAATAGGATTCACCAGAGACAGAGTGGGGAACAGAACAGGCATATTGACTGAAATGCACTGCTGAGGGGAGCAGCAGGTGAGTCAGGAGAGGTCTGCTGTGCCATGTGGGTAGCTCCCTGGCTGGATATTGAACTCATGCTATAGTGGCTGCAGATAGCTTCATAGGTTGCGTCTTAACCTCTTGTGCCACCAGGGAGGCCAAACAAACAATTCTGTCTTAGTGAACCAAAGTAGGACTTGAACCATCCTTTAAAAATAAGAAAAATGCTGTCAGCCACCATAAAACTCAGTCTCCAGCACAAGTGGAATTAAATATGTTTCTGAGAATACCATTTTGTCTAGGATGAATAATACAGTGACAACTGTACTTCCCCAAAAAGCTGCTCAGTAGGTTATTTACCTCCAAAGATTATGAAAGTTTCTCTACTGAGTAAGAAGATACAGAAAAGGAAATTATTCCCTAAAATTCTCAAAGTGGTTAAGAACCCATCCCATGATTTGGTTGCCATCAAAATGGAAGTAATTGATTTCATTTAGGAAGAAGTAAAAGAAGAAGGAAGTGAGGAAAGAAATTAAAGAAAAATGAGAAGCATGTCCACTTGGTCCTACAGTGGAGCTTTGGCATCATCTAGATATAATTGGGGCCTCCCCTGGTAGCACAGCGGTTGAGCGCTGGGCTGCGAGGCTGCCTGCAGCATCTGCAGTGCCGGTTCTATCCCCGGCTGCCGGCGAGGGTCCCACAAAAAAAAAAAAAAATAGATATAATTGATACTCATTCCATTTCAAGGGTGTCCAAACACTTTGCTTAGCTGTTTCCTTCAGTAACAATTTTAACTTGAGTCAGAGAGTTCCTAGTAAATCCTTTGGGGCTACTACATTGTACAACTCCTGGGGCCTTCATTTATATCTTACACTGTCTAACAGAGTCCTTTGGAATCACTCAAGATGACACCCTTGCCCATCCCACACAACTAACTCCCTGAGAGTCATCAGGAGGCAACATTAGTTCCTTAAGGTACAGTAAGACAATGTAAGAGACTCAAGTACTCCCAGGAAAGGGATGCAATGTAGAGAGACCCTCATATTCCTTTTTAACACTATAGTTTACTTGCCTTAGCTTAGCTTTGCACCCTGAGGCAATAAGTAGAATTAGGCATAACATAGGAGAGGCTGGAGGTTTCAGCCCTGAGTGGGAGTCACGTAAGTCTTGCTCCCTCTAGCTTTCGGAGTTCAGTGAGAGGGATTTTGGGACATTATCTTTCAAACTGAGGTTCTGGTGCTAATTGGAACATTAGATAGGTAACTTTTAATTGAAAATACGTAATAATAAAGGAAATTTTTAAAAGAAAAATCAACACTATTACATAATTTTTAGTTTTTATACAATGCTCTTATTTCTTACATACTTAGATATGTATTTAATTGAAACTATTCAAAATATTCATTGTATATGATTATTTGACATATATTTGTCTTTTTAATAGTGAGAAATGTTACTGGATAACACTGATGGGATTTTGAAAAGCATTTAAATAGATCTCCTAGTTTTTCTTATTAAATCAATAGTATAGATTTATGCTCTCTGAAACAATAGTCACTAGCCAGTCACACATAGCTAATGAGCATATGAAATGTGACTAGTCTAAAATGAGATGTGCTGTGAATATAAAGTACACACTGGATTTTGGGGAAAAAACAAAATATCATGAATAAATTTTGTATTGATTACATGTTGAATTAATACCTTGGATATATTGAGTTAAAGAAAATATATTACTAGGGGCCTTGCTGATGGTGCAAGGGGTTAAGTTCCAGCACTCTGAAGCTATCTGCAGCCACTGGAGCATGAGTTCGATTCCCAGCCAGGGAGGTGACCCACATGGTGCAGCAGACCTCTCCTGTCTCGCCCGCTGCTCCCCTCAGCAGTGTGTTTCAGTCAGTCCACCTGTTCTGTTCCCCATCCTGTCTCTAGTGAATCCTCTCACCCCCACACCTCTGGCCTGTACCCCAGTTCTTGTATGCATAAATAAATAAATCTTTAAAACAAAAGAAAATATAGTACTAAAATTAGGTTCACCTGTTTCTTTTTACTTCTTTTAATGAGCTACTAGAAAATTTTAACATATATGTGACTTAGATTATATTTCTATTAGACCATGGTTATATAGAACTTAAACTTGGTTATATAAGAACTTAAAATTGGAAGTTATAAGAACTTAAAATTGGAAAAGAACATAAAATTCCAACAATAAGGAAATGTAAAATCATCTTTGATATGTTTACTATGTTGGATATGTGCATCTTTCAAAATTAACCACATGGATGATGTGGCCAACACAAACACATACATATTCATATACATATACACATGTGCACAGTACACACACATCTATAAATGTAAAGGTTATGATATAAAGTTATATACATGATTTTAAAAAACAGAAAAATAAAAATAATAATAATTTTAAAAACCTAAGAGAATTTTTCCAGATTGCTAACATGCTGACTAGAGGTATGTTTGGGAGGTAGAATTATCAGTGACTTTTCATTTTTTGAATTTAAGAGTGCCTTTGTATCCAGGAACAGACAAAACTAAACCAAAACAAACTTTAGAAACCTGACTGCAGAATTAAAACTGAGAGGGGGATACTGTGGGTGGGGAGGCAAGTGGATTATGGTAGTGGATTATTGATACTTTGGTGGTGGGTGTGACATCGTAACTAACATACACCTGAAGTGGTGTGAACCTGCACTTCTAAATCACATACAGTGTTGTAAATGAAAATACCTCAATAAAAAAAATACAATTACTTTAAAAATACACAATGAAGTACTACTCAGCTACACTAAAAAAAGAAAAGACAAACTTACATTTTAAACAACATGGATAAAACTTGAGGGGTTGACGCTAAATGAAATAAGTCAGAAGAGGAAAGATAAATACTGAATGGTGTCACTTATTTGTGAAATATAGAGAAACAAAACAGAGGGTCAGATAAAGCCAAACCAATAACAAACCCTAGAAATCCAACTGTAGAATTTCGGCTAGTGGGGTAGTAAGGGGAAAAGAAGAGGACAAAGGAGTGGGGGGAACAATGCACTATGGTGGAGCACAATGGGTGCCATGGTGGTGGGTGTGATGTGGTTACAATACCTGAAGATGTTGATCCTATACCTCTAAATCATATATAGTATTGTAAAACAGTGTTCCCTCAATAAAAAGATAAAATTTAAAAGAGTGCCTTTATATCTTTTTTTACCCTTAAATATTTTAAAGCCATAAGACATTTTATATATTTTTAAAGACTTAGTTATTTATGAATACAAGAACTGTGATACAGGCCAGAGGTGCAAGGGGTGAGAGGATTCACCAGAGACAGAGTAGGGAACAGAACAGGCAGATTGACTGAAATACACTGCTGAGGGGAGCAGTAGACAAGACAGGAGAGGTCTGCTGCACCATGTGGGTATCTACCTGGCCAGCTGAGGATCTGCGGGGATCGAACTCATGCTACAGAGGCTGCAGATAGCTTCACAGTTCTGTGCTTAACCCCTTGCACCACCAAGGAGGCCCCATGTTTTATATTTTTAAAAAATCAAATCACTAGGTAGCACTAACTCTTAGACCTAGATCAAGGTAAATAAGATGAAGGTATATTAGTGTTTTAATGGTGGTATTATAGAGAAAGGCACATCGCTCAGTGGGGTTGAAAGTGAAACTCTGAAAGTTAGGGTGCTTGATTATATATATTGTATTTGTAAAGAAATGATTCAGTAGTAATATATCTTTTACTACTTTGAAAAATGTAAAGGATTAAAAACAATCTAAGATCCTTTAAAGAGAATTAAAGCTCTGAAAATAACTTGCCTTGTTTAAATGCTTGCTCTTGCTAACTATTCTTTCTTTGTTCATAGATTCTTGGTATTGTTATCTAAAGTAGAAAAATCATCAGAAAAAATCATGGAAATAGTGCAAAATTTAAGCAGTATCCAGGTTTGTTGGGTTTTTTTTATTTTTTATATGTGATTTTTCATACTTCCACTACCCTGTTTGAAAACAGGAGAAGTCCCAGATTTGTAGTCAATCCAGGAAAGAATTTACAGGCAGTAAGTTTAATTTAGTTTCATGGAAATTTCTTCTTTTATGAATATCAAATACACATAATATTTTATAACATCTGACTTTTTCACATTTAAACATAAATTTGTAGTCTTTGTTTAGTCCTTTTAAGTTATAAATTGTTTTAATTTGGGCATTTTTAAGGTTTACAATAATTTTAAAAAAGAAGCTTTATTTTCTAGTATAGAGTTTGAATTTTTCAGATGAAGGAAATATATTCTCACTAGAATTGTCAGTAACAGTCATATTTGTAAACAGTGTACTAACTCATTTAAGATGACTTTCTTTTAGGCTTTGGAGGGCAGTAGAGAGCTTGAAAATCTCATTGGTTTCTTCCATGCGCCACGATTCTTAAAAAGAGAGATGCAGAAAACGAAAGAACTAAGTAAGAAAAATTCATGAATTTTCACTGGTGTCTGTACTTGTTTTTAGATGTGTTTTAGGTGTGTTTTTAGATGTGTACTTTAATATATTTAATTTTAAAGATAAACTATCTTCCCCCCAATTTAATTTAGTACACTTCTTTATGTATGCCACTACTGGACATGTGATAGAAGTATTATTTAAAGAATTAGGAAGCCTTCTTTATCAGGATATGATATTTCAGGAATTCTTCTTGAATGTGAAGGTAAAGAATGTACAATGGAAACTGGCATTAGGTTTTGTCAGTGCACTCATTTTAAAAAATAAAACGAAAGTTATTCCATTTTGTACTTAATACCTATAAATTATTCAAATTATTTTTTTCTCGTGAAGTTGTTCTTCCAGGATGGGAAATGATTCAGAGTTCTTGTAATTATTAACATGAGTTGTTTTTTTTTTTTTAAGTGAGAAAAGCAATGAAAGAAAAGCTGTTTGAAAAGAGTCCAGAACTTCCTAACAAAGGTAGGGTTGTGTTTAAATTATGTGAGATTCTTTCATATCCTTTCAACCTTTAGAACTAATCATCATGAATCCTTTTTTAGTGTGTTCTTTTAAAAGGCCATGAATCTCATTTGAAAAATTTTATATTGCAAAAAAGACTACTGTATGGTTTTTTGTTTTTATTTTTCTTTACATTTTAAAAGGACAGCCTTATTAGGAAAAGAGAAAGAAAGAGAGGCACCTGCATAGTCACACATGGCAGGAGAACTGCCACTCCTGTTTTGCAAAGGGAAAAGGTTTGTGGAAAGAGTGATTTTATCTTTTTTTTGGGGGGGGGTTAATATTAATTTTATTTTTTATATCATTGTTCATTTTTAAACAATATTTGCTTCCCCTACCCTCTCAGGTGTAGTTCCCATGGAATTTCCTTCCCCAATGCACCCGTGCACCATCACCTCAGTCCCCTGTGCTCCTCCCTCCCTCCCTCTCCCTCTGATCCCTCTCCCCCCTCCTCCCCTGCAGGATGTCTCTGATTTATAATTGTCCGTTTTTTGCTTTGTTGTGTTTTGTACTGCTACTTTTTTTTCCACTGATGTCTTATTGGGTTCCCCTATATTCCTGTTATAAGTGAAACCATCTGATATTTTTCTTTTTCCTTCTGGCTTATTTCACTGAGCATAATTCCTTCTAGTTCCATCCACGTTACTGAAGAAACACTTTGCTTAAGGGTTGCACAATTTTACGCGAGTAAATTTGAGTTTTCCCACTCCTTTGGAGTTAAACTGAGTGATTATCAGTTTCCAACTATATTTAGCTCCTGGTCAGAATTTGAGAAAATGAAAACCTAACTAAAACAGGTGAAAGTTCCCTGACCATTCTGGTGAACACACACAGGGAAGGAGAAAAGAAAGCGTGGAGGGAGAGGGAAAAATCTTATATTGCATTTAATACATGACCATGTCTGGTGAGATAACTTCCGTGATTGTACTTTTAAAATACCTTTTGAAATACATTTCAGTTTAAGATTTAAATTTTGCCTTTTTATTCAAAATTCTTTTGAGAATACAAATAGGGGTAACAGTGTATTAACAAATGACAGCTTTAATGGTGCATTAGGGTAAACAGAAGCATAAAATGTTACTTTGTAACTGGTACCCTGAAAACTTTCAGATCATTAATGATATTTGATCTACTGTAAACTCTTATGTCTCTGAGCATTTCACAGTATGGGAAACTAAATTGGCAGGTTGTTAGTCCCATAGCATATGCACATCTATACCTCAGTAAGCAAAATAATCACTGAATAAAATCTTCAAACTTTTAGACAACTTAAGAGGGATCATTTTAATATTACTGACATGAATGGCTTTTCGCAATCCCTATAGAGGTAGGACTTGAAATGGGTAGCCATATTTTAGTCTACCGTTTTTGAATACCAATGACTACCATTTATTGAAAACCAATAATTACTATGTTCCCTATACTAGAATCAGTAGATCATTACAGTAGCTTGCAAGACAGCTATTAACATTGTCTTTATAGATAAGGAACAAAGACACACAAAATGTTAACTTGTTCAAAGGCACTGCTTACTTATGTGTCTGACTTAATACCTACCTCAAAAACTGGTGTTTGTTTTTTATTATCCCATGCTTCCTCTTCCTAAAAGAAATGAAATCACCCAGTCATCCCAGCTTTCAGATTCAGACATTAAGCATAACTGAAACTGATTCAGGCAATCTAGTCTGTTAGAATGGGATTAGGGTCTTTACTATACCAGTGATGATTTTTCAGTGGAAAGTGCTGTGATTCCCTGCTGGTCAGTTCCAGAGGACACTGGGTCATGGCAAGACCCTCCAAGGCTCATGTGGGAAGGGAGCTGAACAGGCTTCCTGAGCCTTTCTGCTGAGCAGCTAACTTCTGTGGCTCTTGTAATTTAAGAATATGAAAATTAAATCTTTCTTTGAAAGACTTGAGATGCTATATGACTTGGATAGACTGTATGACTAAGTTTCAGTTTCTCTAACTTGACAAGTTTTAGAGGATCATAATGGGAAATTAGAATGTTTATCTCTTGACTAAAAGAAGTCTTTCTTCTATATTTTCTATGCCAATAGTGTGATATTTAAAAAACATGTAATTTTATAGAATTAATTATAATCAGATATAGTTGGCATTTGACAAGTTTTGAGAAATGAGGAAGAGAAAATTATAGAATAAGTGAATTATCAATGCTGATGATTAATGGGTATATTTTTCAAAAGTATAATTTCCTTCCCAAAATATTAAGACACTAAAAGGCTATATTCCATGTGTTGAGGTAATTATCCCCTTTTAGTTATCCAGTTATACCAGTTATTTGTATGTTTGCACATGATAAGCCTTAAAACTACTTTGTAGTATTGTAAACATTAAAACCAATGTACCCATTACCAGGTTTTCCCTTAGAACTCAGCGTTTATTCATGTATAGAGGAAATTATATTATTAAATTGTTTCAAAATTTATAATAAGCATTGATTATCCCTTGTGGTTTAAATGAAAACTGAGTTATGGTATACAAAATATATATCTATTAATATATGACATGTGGCATTAATATATAATCTGTCATGTTACATATAATAGATAATATATATTTTAGAGTGTCATTTTCTATTTCTGTTTCTTGGCAAGACCTGTATTAGCTCTTTATATTCCTTAGGTATTAAAGAATTCATTAGCTTCTCAACTAATTCTTAAAAGTAATGTCTGAAAATCAGATTGAAGCTTATTTTCTTTATAATTTGAGTTTGTTATATATTTTTATATAACTTTGTTATATAAAAACAAAGCGCTTTCCCCTCCTCTTTCTCTGGTTCTTTATATATATTTATTTATTTATTGATGGTTTGTTTTTGTTTGTCTGTTTGATAAAGATGATGTATACCAACACATGTGCATACATATGTAAATTGTTTTACTAAGTTACTAACTTTCCATTGTATACATACATTCATTTTAAGAGGACTTTGCTAAATTTTTTGACATCTCAAATTAATATGCTTTACATGTTCCTTATTTGGGAACCTAACCTTTAGTTTTTTATAGAATTTTCTTTATTACTGTTTTTCTTTTACTAATCTATTGCCCAGAGTTGTTTAAATTTTAAAATGTTTTGGGAATTTTCATAATATTAGAAATTGTATAGCTAGAAATCAAATAATATAAAATTCAGCCCTTTAAATTTTGGATTTATTAAATAATTATGAAAATGAGAGTAAACAAATTACTTGTTTCAGTGTCAAAAGACTTATCCCCCAGATTTTTTTTCTCTTCAGATTCTTGTAAAATTTTTCTAGGATACTTAAAAAGAGACTAGACCAGCAAAGATCCAACTTTTGTGCCTGTCATTCATTGCCCCTTCAAATCAGTACTTTGGTTTTTCACTTCAGTGCTAGCTTGTTTAATCTCATTTGCAGTTTTTTTTTCTAGATGGGAGTATAATTGCTAAGTTTTAAATAGACATCTGATGCACATTACTAAGATTTTATAGAATTCATTCAAGAGAAATTTAAAATATGTACAATGACATGAAAATGTATACTGAGGTTTTCAAGATTTTCAGAAGAACTGGACCTTTAAATCAGAAAATTTCTTCATAGGGCTTATGGATAAAAGAGGCTGTCTTTTGCTAAATACAAATTTCTTAAACAAAGAAAGGCTTCTGTTTCCAGTTATTTAGGATGTAAGCCTAACTTCACTTTCCTTAATAATATTGGCTTTATGACTATTAGGAAAATAACGATATGAAAGGTTCTTCTTCTGTTAGATTTGAATGTGAATTTTCATTATTATTTTTAATTTGTTATGCTGAAAATTTAAAACATATGACCATTCAATGAGTTGATACAGATGGAATGTCACATTATCATCACATGGTAAAGCATGAAATTATTTACTTTACGTAATCAACCTCTACTTAAAACAACTTGAAACAAATATTCGTGAGTCAATAGATGGCATTATGTAGTACTTACTATTTTCATTTTTTATGAAGAATTAGAAAATGCCATCATTGTTTGTCTGTGACTAGAACTTCCAGTAAACAAAATGTTTTTGAAAAGAATGTAAGCAAATTGTAGAGCAGTTGCCAAGACAAGAAATCGAGACATTTAGCTTTAGTCCAAAACATATTATCTGTTTTGAGAATAATTGTGTAGGTTGTAGTATGCATATTTTAAATGAAATGTAGCCATCTGAACTTTACATTGTTCAAAAAGGTTAATTGTTTCACTGTTTATCATACAAAATATTTTGGAATTTCTAGCTCTGACCTTAAAAAGAAAAGCACAAACTATAATGTTTCTGATTTCTTTAACCAACTTACTATGTTCTTAGATTGTAAACTTCATCTTAGTTAATGGTTTTAAAGTTTTCAAATTTTTGGACTACACTACAAGATAAATTTTAAATTCCTCCTGTTCTAAGACTGTCAAATAGTTTGATATTATCTTTTCATTCTAACCACCCACTGAAGTATTTTTTTCCCACTGAAGTATTTTTTAACTTAAAAATACATTGTTCTTTATCCCACTCTATGTTGAAAAAAAATTCATCCTATTAGGTAAATAATTTTCCTCCTAGAACACTGGAGTTTTTTTCTGTTATATCTTAACATTGAACAGAGTGTTTTTTCAAATAAATACTTCAGTTTTTAAAACAGTGAGTGTGAGGTTTAAACATGATGAGTTTTAAGGGAAACAACTCCCTCTTATACTTTAATACTCTTGGTTTATCTGGAGATTGAAAATTAAGATATTAGTTTTAGTGACACAAACATGCATTAGTAGACAACTTTTTCTCCTTAAGTCTTCATAAGGATGCAGCTGTCATTTATGCTGTGCTATGTGGGTCATACTTTTCTTTTAATAATGTTAATGCTCTTGTTCTACATTAGTCATCACCAGGAGATACATTTCAACTGCTTACTTGAAATTTGGCTAGAATTTAAGGGAAAAAATGGTTTATTTCAATCTTCTATGATTTAAATATCTTTAACTTCACTAGAAATGATAATTTTTATCGTTTAAATCAGTAAAAAAAATTAAACCATAGATTTGTACTTAATAGCAATTATAGGTTTAAAGGGTATAAATAACTTGCTATCAGACATTACAAATATCCAGGTGCTCTGTATGTGCTGATGACAACAAAATTGAAACGAAAGACTGTAATAATTCTGACTGGTTTTCTCTGCAGAAGATATTGATTATTTGTGTGTGGTGAGAGATTTGGAAAATTCAATTAAAGGAGTTGTGCAAAGGTTTCATAAATTTTCCTTCTACAGCATGTACACAGACATTGTTGCGTATTAAATCAATGCAGCACTTCACAATATATTTTCTTTGAAACATAAAAATAAATAACATTTAAACAGTTCTGCTTACTACAGAAACAAATTTTATTTTCTGTGAAGCATTTAGTCATGTGCTATCACTGACTCATACACATTTGCCAGCTGTAACAAATTTTATAGACATTTTCTCCAGAGACATATCTCACATACTATGAATTTTTAAATGAGCAAATGGTGAAGAAGGGATGTCAGCAATATAAAAATTGATCAGTTAAAAGATAAAAGCATAAGTAAAGAGATTTGTATGGTAGTCTTAATAGGTTTTATTAAATAAAAATACTATAAAAAGACAGTAATGAATAGACTGAAGACTAACTGTTCTTGAGGTGGAGAAAAAATATTCTGGCACATTAAGTAGAAATTGGTTTTGCGCCACCTGACAGGTGAACATTTTTTTTCCATTTAACTCTTAAAGTAATCAGAAAAAACCCTCAAAATAGAGATAGATAAATCCTCTATGTAAGTGGTTTATATATGTTAAGTACATACATATAATAATAAAGCAGATATTTTTTAATATTATATAACTAATTGTAGTTACAAGTAGAACTTGTATAATAAGTAAATAAGATGATTTTCCTTCAGCACCTCAGCTAGGAGGCAAGTAGTTATTTTAACTCATACTTTACGCACCATATGCTTCAGCATTCTAGAATCTCTCAGAATTCCAGACCTGTCTACTGCTTCACTCTCTCTGGATTTCTTTTTCTTTCTTCTCTGTCTAGCAAATACCTGCTCATTCTATAAGATCAGTTTCAGATGTCATATCCTCTGTGAAATAATCCCCAGTTTGCCTCGGTAAAGCTAAATTGCTTTATCTCCTAGGCTTCTGCAACACTTGCCTGAATGTTTATGAATGTATCTTATAATATGGTGGTGTATTGCAATTATTTAGTTTCAGGGCTCTTTCTGGACCCCTCCTTGGCAAGCAAACAGTCTTTCTATACTGTAGCCCCAGAATCTAGTACAAACCCTGGATAGAAGATCCATAATGCACATTCAGCAAATGAATGAAAACAAGTGGCTATTTTAAAAATTTCTTAAAGGAATTATCTAAATATATTCAAATACATATAAATTTCTATCTCCTTATTTGCCTCATTCATTTACTATTTATTGAGTTTGACCTTGAACCAGGCAATGTTCTAATATTCCAAATACACTAATGAGCAAGTCTGACATAGTCCTGCCCTCAGGATTATAGAATCTAGCACAAAGGACAAGTAATTATATTAAAGCATAGCACACTATAATTATAAATTCCTGTGTGGTTTTTATTCTACATTTTTAAATATACATTCTGAATCAGAATAAGGCAACCCAGTATAATGTTAAAAAGAGAATTTGTACCCCAAAGATGTTATTTATAATGTAAAATAAAACATTATATTGGTGTTATTTATTTTAATTTTAATTTCCTTTTGATTCAACAATTATTTGGTCTCATACTATGACAGCTTACTCTGAGCTGTTTTCTGAAAATATTCTTTTTTCTTTCATGTAGAATTATGTCATCTTGACAGCTATGAATTCCTCAAAGCCATCTTAAACTAAGGTACTGTTTCACCTTTCTAATTAAGTCTAGCTTTGTTAAATTTCACTGTTTTGTTCAGCTGGAAATTTTACTTACACTATCAGATTTGGTACTGTTTATCTGTAAGAAAAATAGGGACATGAGCTTTAGAGTTTTCATTGAAATCATATTTAATATATTCTTTTTTTAAGATTTATTTATACAAGAACTGGGGTATAGGCCAGATGCACGGGAGGGTGAGAGGATTCACCAGAGACAGAGTGGGGAGCAGAACAGGCAGACTGATGAAATACACTGCTGAGGGGAGCAGCAGGCAAGACAGGAGAGGTCTGCTCGCCATGTGGGTTGCTCCAAGGCTGGCGGGGATTGAACCTGCACTGCTGAGGCTGCGGACAGCTCCATAGCGCTGTGCTCAACTGCCTGCGCCAGCAGGGAGGCCCCATATTTAATATATTCTTGTAGACAATAGAAGAGCAACCTGACAAGATCTGAATTATACACTTATTGAAAAAGAACACTAGGGCCTCCCTGGTGGCGCAAGGGGTTAAGCACCGCACTATGAAGCAATCTGCGGTTTCTGCAGCAGGAGTTTGATCCCTGGCCAGCCAGGGAGCAACCCATTAGGCAAAGCAGACCTCTCCTGTCTTGCCTGCTGCTCCCCTCAGCAGTGTATTTCAGTCAGTCTGCCTGTTCTGTTCCCCACTCTGTCCCTGGTGATCCTCTCACCCTCCCCCACCCTGCATCTCTGGCCTGTACCCCAGCTCCTATATGCATAAATAAATAAATCTTTATAAAAAAATATTTAAAAGAAAAAGGACACTAACCCACCTGACCAGGCTAGCTTTAAAAGATATATTTTTAAGTGAGTATAAATTGAACACCTGTAGTATAAATAGCTAACTAGATACTGACTGGTGGGTTATAGAATCGTAGGGCACTTCTCTCTAAACAAGATAAAGCAAATCTATGAAGTTGGAAATGTGCTAAATTGATTAAATAATTTATGTATTACTTAGTTGGACCTTCAAAGCAATTCCTATGAATTCAGAAGTATGTTAAAATATTTTTATAAATAGCTTATTATAATGTATTAGCTTGAAGGAATACAAGTTAATATGTGTTATTATTATTTAGTGAACCTGTAACTAAAGGTTCACATTAAGAACTAGCATTACCCCAGACTTAGTGGCATTAATATTAAGACTCTTTAAAGCTGACCAGATGTTGCTTACTATCTCTTAGAAAACAATACAAAATGAAAATTCTATTCTATCCTGAAAATACATTTCTTTGGAAACTACTTCATGGGATTAATATTGACTTCCTAATAAATTAGCATCTTTGTGAAATATTTATACAGAAATTAGATAAATTTGCAAGACTTTTTAAATAGAAAATTATCTCATTCTCATTCATTAAAATGTCCATTCTGTTGTTATACAACAAATAATAGCTTATTACAATAACATCTATAGCACTTTCTGTGTGCCAGGCACTATTGTAAGTACTTCATACATTTCCCACTTAACTTTCACAACAACTAATTATTTTATAGATGAGGAAACTGTAACACAAAGGGGTCATGTACTTTGTCACAGAATCACCCAAGAGACCAAGCCAGGATACTAACCCGAGTAGTTTGGTGCTAGAGCCTGTCCACTACACAGTAGTGAACTATGAATTTCAGGTTTCATTGCTGGTCAGATGTCCTATTAAATAGTTAAGATATAAAATGTATACACACAGACACATTTATTCATTCTAGGATTAAACGGTTAATTCTAGGATTAAACATAAAATTTCAGAACTATAAGATGGTGGTCATAAATATATATTGTTATACATTTGGCAAATCAATATACACCTTTAGTAAATGGCAGTCTCAGTGGCCTTTGGGGAACTTAAAATATTGGGAATAGTTTTGTGTTCATGGGTTCTTACTAAAGAGCTTCACAAGTTAACAGTGTTCTTTTAAGTCTCTGAGTAGTACTTTCAGAAAACTTGAAAGGATTAAGGTTAAGGAAGGAATTGTCAACTTCCTTTTTATTGGAGAGCAACAGAAAAAAATGACAGTGAAATAAAACCTGACTTCACCTTTGAGGCATTTCCCTGGGTTCTTCTTTTTGACTGTGTTTTCTTCTTACTTTGGGCACTTCATGATCTCTTCCATTCCTTTGACTTTAGTTCTTATCTTAGTGTATAAGGTCTCCAAATCTATTTATGAGCCTTCTCCCTCAGCTGATATCCACAATCTCATTTGGTATACAATGTCCCCCAATATGTTGAACTCATAATTTTCCCCAAAATTTTTCTTCATTTACCTTTCTGGAAATTGCATTCATTCCAATGATATGGTTCAAAATCTCAATTCTCTTTTTTTTGCCCTTCACATCAACTTCCACCATATCACTTCTGAAAAAGTTTACTTCTCCTTTCCATATCACCTGCACTATTTTATCCCTTTATTACTTCTCATCTAGATTATCATCATTCCCTTTATAACCCGTGTCTCTTATTTTTGGTCTCTTGCCCCCATAACCTGTCCTGCTACTGCTTTAAAAAGTATTATTTCACCATATTCAAAGTAAAATCCCAATTTATAGTGATATTTAGAACTCTCTTATATGACCACAGCTTACCTTTCCTGTTTTTCCTTGTACTTCAGTCACTCCAGGTTACTTACCATTCTCTAGACACATGGCTTAGAAAGTGCCTTTCTTTTCCCCTTACCTCTGTTCTTCTCTTCTTTGCATGGCATATCTTTTCTTCCATCCTCAAAATATCACCAATCTTTCAAAACCTGCTTGTGATTCATCTTATGCTAGGCTTCCTCAGATCTCTCTCTTCCACATCCTTTCATTGGTTTTCTTTTGTGCATTTATCATAGTTACCCAACTGACTAAAGGAGGGTATTACACTCCCTGACTTTATGCCCTAGAAACTTCTAATAGGCATAGTACTCCTGGATACCACTTTGGCCAACTTCCTTTTTGCACACCAATTCCTACTCTCTCTCACACTTCAGGGATTATGTCTCCCGTACTGTGTTATTTAGTGTGTGAGGAGGTAGGAACTACCCCATACAAATTCATTTGCTTTACAAAGCAAAAAACCTTTATAAAATGATGTGAAAATAAGAGAGCTAAAAGGGAGACAGCAATCCATAGGCCACAAGTAGTACTAAGTCCAATAAAGGTGTTTAGGAGAAGTAAAAGAATGATCTTCGCTATCTTCCCTAATGTTAACAGGGATACTGCAGGGGGTACAGTGATACTTTATCTAGATACAATTTGGATAAATCATTTGGTAAATAAAAGTATGAAGCTTAGTATAAACAAAGCACTGTGCATAATGCCAACCTTTTGTAACCTAGTTATCAAGTTAAGGACACAAGATTTATATAGTATAAACAAGAATCAGTAAAGAATAAGCAGTAATATAGGAATACACAGCAGACATAGATTACCTCAGGATGGAGTGATTAGGTCATTTTTAAAGTTTCATGATTTTAAAGTTGCAGTTATTCTCTATATTATATTGGATTAAGTGCCACTTAGACCCTAGAATGGAAACTATACTTTTCTAGGAAGCAGGAATTGAAAAATGGGTAATTTTGACAGTCTGTGGAGACCTTTGCAGAGAACAACTTGAGCAAAAAAGGCAGAGTAACAGAATGGTGGAAAGGTAGATTCAGGTCACGTCACTGACAGGATCACCATGCTAGTAAGTTCAGACAATTCAGAAGTGGATCAATGAAGATTAGATAAGTAACAATACAAAATATGTTTTATAAAAAATATAATTGCCATATCAAGAATGAATCCTGTCAATATATACTGCTTATGAACTCCATCACTGAATCTAAATTATTTTCATTTGTATTATGAGATATTCATCTCTAGAACCAATATAGCAGTGCAGAAATAACAAACATGCCGCCACTCCCTACTCTTGTGCTATGACATTCACACAGATCAAATATTTTTGCTGGACCCTAAATTTGACATCAGTCTTTCTCAACAGTTTTAGTAGCCATGGTCAGTTGAAAATTCTTTGCTAAAATTTAGATTAGATATCCAACACTAACTCTACTACCTACTTAGCTGTGTGATTGCAAACAAGGACTTGGTTCCCCTAAAATGGGACTGATAATATTTACCTTGTGGGATTGTACAAATTATTAGCTTAATTAGTACCCCCCCATAGTAACTGTTTAATAAATTATAGTCTTCCTTTCCTTTATAGTATTATCATTAGTTCTGATAACCTATCAGGGTATTAAGAGTGTTTAAAAGCCACAGGAATTCAGACCAGACTCAAACAAGGCTTGGCAAGTTGGTTGTCAGGTTGGCAAACTGTCTTCTAGGTGGGTGGATTCTGGAGAATGGGTAAAGATACGGGGTGTCGTTACTTCTGCACAGCTGCTGATGTAAGCAAGGAAGAGGTATTTAAGGAGTGAATGGTTCACATGCCCTATGGGAATATGTGCCAGCAGTGCTAGTGAGTGACTGCTTTCTTCAGAGGCTTTCTCTCACAAAAGGGCCAAACAGACAAGAACTTATACCACCACTAGGAGTCCCCATAGGGACATAATCTGAATAGGAATGTCCACAAATACTGTCTTTTTGGCGGGGGGGGGGGGGGGGGCAGCTGTTGGAGAAAACACCTGCTAAAAGGCCCTGAGGCTTATAGACAAAGGCATGTAGATTTGGTGGTTTCAGTAAGTCATTTTGGAGTTTTAGAACTTTCTCAGATGTCTCTCAAGAGCCATCTTCATAGTCTGAAACATGCTATGTAAGAGTATTCATATTGACAATTTTTTTCTGAAGATGAATCTCACTTAAGACTCAAAATTAAGGGCCTCCCTGGTGGCACAGTGGGTTGAGCACCGCACTGTGAAGCTGTCTGCAGCCTCTGCAGCACGGGTTCGATCCGGCTGGCCGGTGAGAATCCCACATGGCGCGGCAGACCTCTCCTGTCTTGCCGCTGCTCCCCTCAGCAATGTATTTCAGTCAGTCTGTTTGTTCTGCTCCCCGCTCCGTCTCTGGTGAATCCTCTCACCCTTGCGCACATCTGGTCTGTACCCAGTTCTTGTATAAATAAATAAATCTTTAAAAAAAAAACCTCAAAATTAAGCAATTGAGAAATCATCAGTCTAAACTAGGTACCAAAGTAAATAGTAGACAGTGTTTAAATCATTTCCTAAGTCACATATGAGATGCATATTAATTTGAAAACTAATTCTTGATTTAATAATCATCTTTTATATCCCACAGGCATTTAGAAGAAATGCATTCACTATGAACACCAACTTCTGCATCTGCCTGATCATATTTAAGGGACAGAAGAAATGTTTGTAATTAATCTGCCCAGTAAATACCAGCTCATAGCACTAGGCAGGTGCATGTCTAGATAAAATTTCTTGCAGCTAATTTAAACTTTCTACACACACCAGTAGATAATCTCAATGTAAATAATACATTTCTTCTTGACCCTGTAATGTAAGCGAACATGTAGAAGAGAATCTTGACTTAAATATTCTGTATCATGTACACTTCTATATACTTGTAGTATCTGTACTTATTAATAAAGCATTTCTGAAAATGGCACCTCTGGTAGAGGTATATATTTTAAAACTCAGACTAAATCTAGTAGTGAGTGTAATTAGGTACCAGTTTCCCACTTAAAGCCTCAGATGTGTTAGATCTTATTGAAAAGAGCAACTGTTTCAGAGATGGTTTTTTTTTTTTTTAATAGAGGCATGTTTATTTATTTATTTGTTTGTTTGTTTGGTTTGTTTATACATGCACTGGGTACAGTCAGAAGCGTGGGAGGGTGAGAGAATTCACCAGAGCCAGAGTGGGGAGCAGAACAGGCAGAAGGACCGAAGTACACTGCTGAGGGGAGCAGCGGGCGGCAGGAGAGGTCTGCGCGCCATGCGGGACCCTCCTCCGGTGGCCGGGGAGCAGCCGGGGATCGAACTGGCGCTGCAGAGGCCGCAGGCAGCTTCGCAACCCAGCGCTCAACTACTGCGCCACCAGGGAGGCCCTCAGAGATGGGTTTTTATATCTACTTATTCCTATGTTCATAGAGAAAAAATATTTTGTTTTAAAATTTTCATATCTGTTTATAAAATATTGGAACCTATTTTTTAGTACCTTTAAACATGAAGTTGTTTTTAAACTGAACTATGCAGACTACTGGACCTAAAGAAAAGACCTTACATTTGGGGCAGTATGTGATCCCCTCCAATTATTTTGAAGCATTCATTGCTACTTTTCTATGCTGTTTTATATCATCACTTGTGCTATCACAAAACAAAGGCAAAAAGGGAATCATAATATGTGTTATAATTTGATAACACATTATTTAAACATTTCTACATTTTTATTTTTTACTATTTCCACAGGGAGGTAAATGCTGTCCCATACTTAAGTACTTGCCTTAAGTCTTGACAAAATTAGATTACCGGGCCTCCCTGGTGGCACAAGAGGTTAAGCATCACATTTTGAAGTAATCCACAGCCTCTGCAGCACGAGTTTGATTCCCGGCCGGCCAGGGAGAAGCCCACATGGCGAGGCAGACCTCTCCTGTCTTGCCTGCTGTTCCCCTCAGCAGTTATTTCAGTCAGTCTGC